ATAGAGGGACCTATTCCCAGGGACATTTCAGTCCCATGTCCTGTATATTTCATTTGTATCTGTCTTTATTCTCTTTTTTTTTTTTTTATTAAACATTTTTTTGTTTCTTTTTAAAATAGTTTTCATTTAATTGTTCATACACATTTTGTTTTAGAAAATTTTTATAGGAAATCTTCTGAATGTCTTAAGAAGTCCTTGCTGTACCCTGTCCTTCCCTTCACCCTACTCATCCACCAGGTAATCTCTGTTCCCTTCTTTTCTCTCCTCCCATCCTTGTCAACTGTCCACAATTGTTTCTGTGTTTGAACCTTTCCTTAGCTTTCCCCAATCCATTTCATCAGTCTTGCATACCCTTCCAGATTGTTGATTGTAGTACATCCTACATCTGATTGTTCATTTCAGTTTGACCTTCCCTTCATCACTTTTAATAAATACTGTTTATTATCTCTCCATTCATTTACTGCTCTTTCCCTCCCCCAGTGATCATCCTATTTTTCTCACAATGATCTAATTCCATATTTCTACTTTTGTTACTGACTTATTTCACTCAGCATAACGTCCTCCAGATTCATTGATGTTGTAAAGTAGGCCATGAGTTCTTCATTTTTTACATGCCACCTAATGCTCCATTGTGTGATTGTACCAGTTTCTCTGTCCATTTTTTTGTGAATGGGCACTTGGACTGCTTCCTTCATTTTGCTCTTGTGAATAATGCTGCAGGTAAACATGGGTGTGCGTGTATGATTGTGTCACAGCTCTGAATTCTTTAGGGTATATTCCTGGTAGTGGAATCAAATGAGCTGGATCAAATGGTATTTCTATTTTCAACTTTTTGAGGAAATACCAAATTGCCTTCTATATCTTTGTACCATTTTACATTCCCACCAGTAGTGCTTGTGAGTTCAGGTCCCTATACATCCTTGACAGCACTTGTTCCTTGCTGTCCTATTGAACTTTGCTATTGTTTTTAGGGTCAGATGATATTGTTTCATTTTACATCTCTTTAATGATTAATGAACTTAAGTATTTATGTATTTCTTGGTCATCTGAAATGTCATCTTTGGTGAAGAATCTTTTCATTCTTTTCATGTCGTCTTCTAATTTTGTGTTTGAGTTGCTAGTCTTTTTCTTTTTAAGGTACTAAAGTTTTGTATCTATTTTAGATATGAGTTCCTTATCAGACATGACATATTCAAATGTTATTTTTCCTAGTCTCTAGACTTCCCTTTTACCTTTTGAAGAAGTTTTTAAAAGCATTCAAGGATTTCCTTTTTAAAAGATTATACCTATCTATTTTATCCTCTCCTGGTTGTACATTTTTTGCTATGTTTTAAAACCTATTCATGCATAGATTGTCTTTGTTGTTGTTATGTGCTGTCGAATCTAATATGATTCATAGCAACCCTATGAACAACAGATCTGAACCCTGTCTTATCCTGTGCCATCCTCACACTTCCTGACACACTAGAACCCATTGCTGCAGTCATTGTATCATTCCACCTGGTTGAGTGTCTTCTATTCCTTCACCAACCCTCCACCCTTCCTAGCATCATGTTTCTCTCCAAGCAGAAGGCCCTCCTAGTAGCATGTCCAAAGTATGTGAGGTGAAGGCTTATCGCTCTTGCCTTCAAACAGCACTCCAATTGCACTCTCTCCAAGTTATATCAGTTTATTCTTTTGGCCATCCGTGGAATGTGTAGTGCTCTTCTCCATCACCACAGCTTAAAGGCATCAATTCTTCTGTCATTCTTATTCATTGTCCAGCCCTCAGATGCCTAGCAAGTGATGCGAAAGCCTATGGGCTGAATCAGATGCACCTTACTCCTCAAATTGGCATCATTACTCCTAAATAATTTGAAGAGATCCCTAATTGTAGACTCTCCCAGTGCAGTGTGTCTCCTTATTTCTTAACTTCTGGTAAAAAGGTGTTAATTGTGGGTCCAAGTAAGATGAAGTTGTTGACAGTTTCAGTCTCTTCTCCATCCATCATGATAGTACCTATCAGTCCAGTGGTAAGAATCTTTGGTTTCTTGACACTGAGTTGCAATCCACATTGAAGGCTGCATTCCTTGATCTTCTGTGACAAGTGCTTCAAGTCCTCACTTTCAGCAAGCATGTTTTGTGTCATCTGCATAATGCAGGTTATTGATGAGTCTCCTTCCAATCCTAATACCACAGTCCTCTTTATAGAGTCCAGCTTCTCTAATAATTTGTTCAGCATACAAATTATATAGATATGGAGAAAAAATACAACCCTCTTGCACTCCCTTCTTAATTTTAAACCCCTGCTCTGTTCGCACAATAGTCTCCTGCTCCTGGTTTATAGTTTTTGCTTTCAACCCTGGATCCTTGATACTACTTGAGTTGGGGTATGTGTGTGTTTGTGTGTGTGGTTTGAGATGCAAATCTAATTTCTGTTTTCTGTAGGTTAATGTCCAGTTTTGGGGTTTTTTTGTTTTGGGGGTTTTTTTATTATTCATTCCAATGAACATTTACAGAGAATTTGGATTTCCATTCATTCATTGTTGCACCTTTCTCCCCGCCCACCCCTCCCACCCCGAGTATGCTCTTCTCTTTGAAAAGTAAAAGAAAAATTCCTTCATTGGTGTACAATCCCCCTCACCCCCCAACTCCCACCTCGAGTATACTCCACTCTGCAACCTTCATTCCAGACTCTTATGATAATGGTAATGCCCTCTAATATATTGCTTTTAAACTGTTCTCTCCTTTTGCCAGCACCATATGTTAAACAGATTGTTGTTGTCCTGCTTACTGTGTTTCATCTCTTTAACAAAGATCAGTTGACTGTGGGTGTATGAGTTGATTGCTGGATTCTCAATGGTACTCCATTGGTCTATGTTTCTGTTGCTGTACCAGTGTTTTTTACAGCAGCAGTGTAGGAGGTTTTGAGAACAAGGAGTGTGATGCTTCCTGTTTTGTTTTTCTTTTTTAGTAGAGTTTTGCTTGTTCAGAGGTCTCGCCCTCTTGGCTTGCTTTGTTTCCATTTTATCTCCCAGGAGAGAAAACATATTAGAGACCGCACCTGGGAGAAACCTCCCTTGTATCCAAAGAGGACTGTTAGGATTAAGAAATATTACATTCCATCTTTAACCCTTTTACAGCTATTTAATGTCTTAGATAGGGGGGCTCATTGCATAGCTTCTATATTACTATATACATGTATTTTCAGTGACACAGTTCAATCCATGACAACATCTTTTTCCCCAGCCGTTCTCATTCACCCTTAAACATCCTTCTCCTGGAGCCAGTTCTGTGCTTTCTCTGATGCCTTTACTGAGTCAACTATATTGATTCTCTCTAATTCTACATTTACCTTTTGCATTTTTTTTCTTTTGATATGTTTCCCAAGATGAGTTGGGAGTATTTTCTTTTGTACTTCCTTTGTTTTCCTAGATGTATTAATAAAACATAGGCATTAATGAAAGTCACCCTCATTAACTTGTAATCTGAATTAATCCTCTGCCATCTGAAGTACTTTAAAGGGAACAATGAATGATCATCTGCTTCCTCCTCTTGCTCAGTGTTTCTGTCCACAGGCACCACCTAAGGGACTCCCTGTTCTGATTGTCATCATGGAGTGAGTGCCCTTGAGTCAGTTTTGGACTAACAGGGACCCAGCGTCGCAGAGTCAAACTCCTTTGGAGGGTTTTCCAGACTTCAGGAGCAGACTGCCGGGTGGTCTGTCTCACTGACCTCCTGGGTAAACTCAAGCTGCCAGACTTTTCAGTTAGCAGCCACACCCTTAATCTTGCACTGAGGTTCTGTTACTGCTGATTAAGAATCTTAACACATTAACCCTTCTTGAAATGTTGGTATTCTTTTCTGTAGAATTTTTTTATCTATAAGGCATGTCAGTCAAGCCTTTATAGAATAATTTTCATAAGTCTGTCTTTTGGTAAAGCTTGTGTCAGAAAATTATTTTCAATGTATTTTCCTCTAAGGAATCTTTGATTTAAAGATACATGCACAAACAATGACCTTAACATAGATTGCTGTAATCTGTTTATATTTCATACTTAACTGATCACACAGTATATATTAGTTGCTATTTTAGACAGAAGGGATGTAGTATGAACAAGAAACCAAGAGACTCCTACTCAGGGACTGATTAGGACAGAAGCAACCCAGCATGCAAGTGAGCCAGTGAACTATCAGGTGGTAGAAAGGCACTGAAGCCCTCTTTAAGAAGTGTTATTTTTCACTGAGACTTCTTTAGCTCCTAATAGGTCTGGAGGGATGAGAACTTTCCTAAAGGAAAGGGCAGCAAATGTAAAGACCCTGAGCTGGGAAGGATCAAGCTTAGTCATGGTGTCTGACCCTTGGGATCTTTTTCCTGAAAATGGCTGACTTCTTAAAAAAAAATACAATGCTCAAAGCAAAGCCGACTTGCTAATTTAATTGACTGAAAAACAGCTTTTAGTATCCAGTGTTTCCAGACCTTCAAGTTGAAAGGCTCCCTGAGGGCCGTCATTTGTGTGAATTATCTCTATTTCCATGAAAGTAAAAAACATGAGAATTAAAACAATTCCTCATATATACCCAAAACCTTCATCTGGTTCCTGGTCAGCAAGGAGAAGTGTGAAGTAGTGATCAGAGATGCAGCCAGAGGCAGAGTGTAGGTGCTGGGTGTTGGTTTCACAGGTCTTTACTTTGTGCTACAGTGTTGAGCTGCTCATCATAAGGTTGTACTTTATGTTAGATTTTAAAATATAAAACGTTAAAAATAAAATTATTTTGTACCACAACAAAATGCCTCATGCAGCCTGAGAACTGGGTAGCACAACAACAAGGTCCCTTTTGGGGCTTAGTTGCAGAGTATACAGGATTATCACAAGATACAGTTGTCCAGCTCTGCTTTTTGCCAGCTAACCAGCGTCTAAATCACAAGGAGTAAAATTACTTCCATATTTAGTTAGTTTGGGAAACTTTTTCCAGAGAACATTGTTAATGACTTCTGTTTATTTATCCAATGACTGCAGACTCTTCCACTGCAGAGTTCAACAGGATTTGCAGAGGGCCTCTCTCGACATCTCATTTTAAATCTAATTTTAAAACCTGGAGAAAAGAAATCTGTCAAAGTCAAGTTTACTCCAATTCACAATAGAACTGTCTCCTCACTAATCATAATCAGGTAAGTTCTGTGAATTAAGTGTGTTAATTTCAAATGCTTATTTATATAGCAGGTTTGATTTGATTCAAGTTGTATTTATCTAAATTCTAGAATAGGGTATCCATTTTATGCAGCACACACAGGCACACCCTCCCAGTTAATGAAAGGACCTTTCTAATTACATTTGTAACTGAAAAACATGAACAGTGTCTTACTAACTATGTGACTCTTGAAAAATGTACAATTCTTGCTATTCTCTATGTAAATTAATAAAATGTAGATACCTACCTATAGATTTTAGCTTATTAATTTCTACAATGTTTTACAAAACTGTAATAGAAACTATATCAAATGACTGTGTCATTTCTGTTCTTTCATAGGAACAACCTGACGGTGATGGATGTTGTGATTGTCCAAGGACATGGGACAACAGAGAACTTGAGAGTGGCAGGCAAGCTTCCCGGTCCTGGCAGCTCCTTACGCTTTAAAATCACAGAGGCATTATTAAAAGATTGCACCGATTGTGAGTATCCCAGACAGGTTTAAGACATAAATCTTAACATTTTCTTTGCAATAAATTATTCCAAAATAATAATATTTTTATGTATGTATGTATGTACTTATAGTAATGACGAATTCCTAAGATTTTAAGGAAATATCCCATCCTACTTTCAAACTTAATAAGATGCTTTGCTTTGGATCTTAAAAACATTAAAAATACCAGTCCTGAGTGCATATTTAAGCTGATTTATTCTAACTGTAAGACACAAAGCATAATTGAAGTCTTGCTATTGAAAACATTAAAAATTGGAGTTCTCCTGATGAAGGCTGGGTAATAGCTGATCTCTAAATCATGTGCAAATAGTTTGTAATTTCTAATGTGTAGTAGTAGTTTATGAATACTGTAGTAATCATATGAATTAGGATCATAGGCTAACAAGAATATTGAATCCTAATTTTTTTTCTCCCTTTAGCTTTGAAACTTCGAGAACCAAATTTCACCTTGAAAAGAACATTTAAAGTAGAGAATACAGGACAACTGCATATTCACATAGAGGCCATTGAAATAAGTGGATACTCATGTGAGGGATATGGCTTTAAAGTTGTTAATTGTCAAGAGTTTACACTAAGTGCCAATGCTTCTAAAGATATAATCATATTGTAAGTATTTTCTTACATAAATCAATGATTTTTCACTGACATCTTTATTAGATTTACTCAAATTTTAGCTAAATATATTTTTGTATTTACAAAGCAAAATATTTATGTGTTCTTGTATCAGTTTTTAACTTCATGTATGGGTAAGGTGTTTTTCATGTCAAAGTTATAAACCCTCTGACTCAGATATCTTGGAAATCCATTTCAAAATTATTTTCAGAGTTACATGAAAACATTGAATGTTGGAAAAGGAAATTCCCTCTTAATTCACAGAATCTCAGCAGTGGAACAGAGACTTGCCTCAAACATGCACTTTTTTCTTGGTGTAGAGTATAATAACATGCATTCATCATGTTAATTGGTATTCATCAATTTGGGGAACCTTATTTTTTGCCAATGCCTTCAGTGCAGCTTAAACTTCTTCCATCCATATTATTGGTTCTTGATCATATACTGCTTCCTAAAATGATTCCATGTCAATCAAATACAGTGACTCTTATTTGACACTTCCTGGATCATTCAGACTAGCCTTATAGAGTCCTTCAGTATTGCAGCTCAAAGCTTGACTTTTCAGTTCTTTGGAAATGCTGAGCATGTTCTTCCCTTTTGATTGTTTAACTCCTGCCTTGCACATTTTGTTATAATACATTGCTTTTTTTGCTTTGTTTTCTCAAGATGCCCTTTGAAATCTTCTATTCTTCTGTTATTATTCAACAGCAATAGGTGAATACTAACACCAGGAAGGTCCACACTCCAGACAACAACACTCCATAGAGATCAAAGGGCAGCAATTGCCCAGGGATAAAGATCAGAAGGAGGAAGGGACAGTAAAGAAGGGTGAATAGAAACCGTGAACCTAGGGCGTGAGAGGAGGATTGTTACTTTGTGGGGACTGAAATTATTGCCACATTTCAATGTGTGTATGTGAATTATACAGTGAAAATCTATTTTCTCTGTAAACTTTTATTCAGATGACAGTATAAAGGATTGTTTGTGTTTTTTTGTGGTTTGTTTTTTTTTTTAAAAAAAGGCAAGGTCCTGGACCCTATATGTAAAATAGTCCTCGCTAAAAAGAAATCTATTCTTTTGGTCAGTAATTTTTTTTATATTTATATATATTTTACTGCTGTTAATTGTAAAATCATTTGACAGTTTATAATTTGTTATATTGTAAGACTTAATGTGAGAAATACAATTCCTGTGCCTTAATTATATAATAATTCATGATCGCCATTGGGTATTTACTTGGTTTAAGTAGCCCCAATGATACAGGTACAGTATCATGTTTGCCTCATAAGCCAGCATTCAAGAATAAGATATCTTTCCTCAAGGTGCAGATTCCCTGGTTGGATAGCATACAGTTGTCATAAAGTTAAAGTCATTATGGGAGTAAGCAGTACCACTGAAGGTGAAGAAAGGTCACTAGAGCGAGGATGGTTTTAAAAAATGAAAAGTAGCCTGAGAGGTGGCTGAATTTACATAAAGGAATAAGGAAGAAAAAGCTCAGGGATCATTTTCTGAATCAATAATTAAGCAAAATATGTTCTTTATTTATATGCAATTTCTCTACTTCATCAAACTTAGAAATGAAATAAAAGTAACAAACTGTAAAATTCTGTTATGTTAAAAAAAATCTGTAATGCTAGTTTGTAATAATACTGTAAATATACTTAAATTGCTAACGTACATTTTTAATATTCTGCCTTAATGTCCTCTTTCTTATCTTAGGTTTACTCCTGATTTCACAGCCTCTAGAGTTATTCGTGAACTGAAGTTGATCACAACTAATGGCTCTGAATTTGTATTTATATTGAATGCATCCCTTCCCTACCATATGTTAGCAACCTGTGCAGAAGCTCTACCCAGGCCCAACTGGGAATTGGCTTTGTACATCATCATCTCAGGAATAATGAGGTACTTGTGTCTTCTTGCAAGGTTGGTATTGGGTTGTTAAAAGGCAGTATGCCTAGTGTCTGCTGTGGACCAGTCACTGCTCATAGTGTTGGGGGTACACCAAGCACAAACCAGGATAACCTCTGCCTTCATATTGGAGCACACAGTAAAATTCTTTATTTTGCCTTTGAAATTTGTTATACAAATAAAATATGTGATAATTTCTTTAAGGAAAGAACACTCTTCATTTCTAAGATAATTTGGACTTATAAATGTATTCAACATAAGCTTGTTCTTTATTCTTGAGAAGCACCTAAAATGATATGAAGCTGATTAGAAATTTTCTTTAACTCTTTTACATCCTTAAATTTTTAAAAATGTAGTTCTTTATGTCATTTGAGAATCAGATATATTCAGCTTGAAATTTGCACCATTTTCTCATGCATTCTTTCAAAGGCAGAGTTGGACTTGGAACCTCGATGCCTGCACGTTGAACTGACTCCTAATGATCCTCCTTCAGGTTTCCAGTGTTGGAAACTGGATGAGAGTAGATTGCTCATCTTTTTCTCACAGAGTAGCTGGTAGAGATGAACTGCCAGAGAGGCATTGCTTTGTGGTTCATAGCAGTGAAACTCCCACAGTCTAGATGCTCTGTTGGCCCTAAAAGTTGAAACTGAAAGAAAAGATCAAAGCAGCTGTTTCTTGGTAAAAGAAAAGCCATCTAAGTCTTTGCTTCTGATAAAATTAGTATGATGACAGTCTTTAACCCTTTGATCTATAAAGCTTTATTTATTCATTAAAAGATGTCAAAGATATCTCTTTTCAATGTATCATTTTGGACTTTACCAAGAGGCTATTATGTCAGATTTTAGAGAAAGAATCATATTTGGTTACCCTTGCACTAACAGATGGATCTTGGCTCTCCACCTTCTGCACCCCTCAGTGCACTCTTCCTCCTAGTGATTGGAACAGCCTACTTGGAAGCACAAGGAATTTGGGAGCCATTTCGGAGGCGATTGTCCTTTGAGGCCTCAAACTCGCCCTTTGATGTGGGAAGGCCATTTGACTTGAGAAGAATCGTTGGTATTTCTTCTGAAGGAAAGTATGTTCACAGGCTCCAAATAACTTCTAGAATACCTAGATTTGGCGGAAATAATTCAAAGAAAACCTAGGGTTCTTCTATCTAGAATTATATAATAATGCCTTCTATAGCGTTTGTTTACAGAACTCTCATGCAAGATACCCTGTTTTTATTATTTTAGTAAAAGTGAAGATACTCCAAGTGAAATCACTGGTGATCTGATTCTGTAGAATTCTGAAAAGCATCGTGTTTTTGCTTCTTTCCTCAGAGTCATTTATATTTGTGATCACTATACTGATGAAATGTTTCTTAATCTTAGATTTTTCTAAGTTGTTATTTACTGATATGCAGTTGTTCCTTTTTTCAGCTTGAACATACTCAGCTGTGACCCAAATCATGGTAGAGGCTTCTGTGGAGCAGGCAGCTCGTCTTCCAGACCAGGTGCAGGGGGTCACAAGCAGTGTGGCACATCAGTCCATCCACACAGCAGTCACAGCAGTAGAAACTCAGCTGATGTTGAAAGCGTCAGATCCAAAATCAGTTCAGGTACCTCTAGCAGGACTTCCATACAAGCAGCTTCCTCACAGTCTGCTAGCAAAGCAAGCCCCCTTGTGTTAGATTCAAACACAGTGACCCAGAGTCAAACAGCTGGCAGAAAATCCAGAGGAGCCAAACAGAACCAGCAGATCAGTCAGCATCATGCTCACAGCACACTGGAACAGCACGTGCAACCTCCACCACCATCAGTGCCTCAGCACCAGGACCCACAGCCTGAGAGACTCTCCCCCACCCCCCTCACACAACTTCCCCACCCTGAACGTGCCAGCAGCACAAGGCACAGCTCAGAGGACTCCGACATCACCAGTCTCATAGAAGCCATGGACAAAGACTTTGACCACCATGACTCCTCACCCCTCGAAGTGTTTACAGAGCAGCCTCCATCACCATTGTCAAAAAACAAAGGTAATGGTCTGTTCATGCTGGCTGTAGAAGATAACCTGTGGGGAAAAATCAGAACATGGTTATAGTGCTGTTGTGACTAGTTGTGATAAACAGGTGTTTTAGTAGATGTTCTGTCTCAAAATTAACTCTAGTATGGGCTTCTGTTTCACCATATCAAAATAGGAGTACTCATTTGTCATGAAAAGTATTTTATTTCTTAGATTACTTATCAGAATCAGAAATTTGTTGGACATCTACTGCTTTCATTTTCAACTACTACTAAAAGGACTTTTATAAAATTCTTAGAATACTTTTATGCTAGGGTGTGTGTGTGTGTGTGTGTGTGTGTGTGTGATATTTGGGCATGTTGCAAAGAGTGACCAGTGTTTGTAGAAGAGACATCATGCTTGGGAGGGTGGAGGAACAGTGCAAGAGAGCAAGACTCAAGATGAGATGGACTGACTCAGTGACTGGGGTATTGGGAATGATGGTGTAAGAGACAATAAGGTTGGTTCAGAATAGAGCAGGTTTCAGAGCTGTTGTAACATATAAGTTGCTATGAGTCAGAGCTGTTGTAACATGTGAGTTGCTGTAAGTTGCAAGCAACCTGACGGCATATAACAACATGAGTAACATGCACAGAGCAAGTCTGTTTTCTAGTCAACACAAATGATACACTTTATGCTTTGTGACATTGAGGGGCTTTTTGTTTTTTCAATTGAAATTTAAATGAAAATTTTGAAAGCAAACTTGTTTTCGGTTCAACCATTTACACATATTTTGTTTTAAAACATTATTATAATACCCACAGTGTAATGCATTTTCCTGCTTCCTCCCTAGAATTCTTATTTCCAGCACTTTTCCTATCCTGCCCTTTCTTTCCTGCTAAACTGTAGCCAGATGTTGGTTTTTTGGCCTTACATGACTTGTAATTCTAAAACATAAGTGCCTTCTGAAATTATTAATTACTTTACAAGCTATACTGACTGAAAGTTGAGCCGTGAGGTGAGTTTTATTACAGATTCAAAGGTTCATAAAAGCTCTAGGCTCAAGAGTTCTATTCAAGAGTTCTATTCGTCTCTGTTTGGCCAGTAAACCTGACCTCTTGATTTTTAATTTTGTGCTGCCTATCCCCACCTCCAGTTCAGAATCTGAAAATTATCCCATTAAGAGCTGGGCACCATCTTCTACTTCTGGTCTCTGATGTTAGAAGTTGAAGTTCATGTGTTCTGTCAGTTCTTTGAAGGAATTTTGTCAGCACATATTTTTCTTCCCCCTTCTTTATTCCACATGGGGAGAGACCAGTAATTGCACCTTGGATGGCAACTTGAAAGCTTTTAAGATTCCAGTCTATACTCACTAAAGTAGGATGTGAAACATCTTTCTAACTATACTATACCAAGTAACCTTGATGTCCCCTAGACTTTGGTTCCAGTGCCCCAAATCTAACAACTCATTAGCATAGGGCATTCGATTATGATTGTTGTTGTTGTTGTTGGGTGCTATCAAGTCAAGTACTGCTCATAGAAACCTTGTCAAGAACAGATTTGAACCCTGTCCTATCCTGTGCCATCTTTACAATCTGTGATGCACTTGAACCCATTGCTGCAGTCACTGGATCAATCCACCTGATTGAAGGTCTTCCTCTCTTTCACTGTCCCTGCACCTTCCCAAGGATGATGTCCTTTTCCAAGCAATAGCCTCTCTTAGCAACATGACCAAATTATTGAGGAGTAGTGATATCAGTTTGAGGACTAAGGTGCATCTGATTCAGGCCATAGTGTTTCTGATTACTTGTTATGCATCTGAGACCTGGACAGTGCATAAGGATGACAGAAACAGAATTGATACCTTTGAGCTGTGGTGTTAGAGAAGAGCACTGAACATCCCATGGATGGCCAACAGAAGGATGGTCTTGGAAAGGGTGCGGCTGGAAAGCAAGAATGATCAGGCTTCACCTCACATATTTTAGACACATTGCTAGGAGGTGCTATACCTTTGAGAGGGACATGATGTTGGGTAGGGTGGAAGGTTGGAGAAGGAGAGGAAAACCCTCAACCAGGTGGACTGACATGGTGATTGCTGCAGTTGGCTCTTGTGTGTCAGGAAGTGTGAAGATGGCGTAGGACAAGACCAGGTTTAGATCTTTTGTTCCAAGGGTGAGTCATACTCAACTTGATGACACCTAACAACAACAGCAACATGACCAAAATATGTGAGTTGAAGCTTTATCATCTTTGCCTCCAAAAAGCACACAGCTATACCTTTTCCAAGACATATTTTTTCTTTCTTTTGGCCGCCCATGATTCAGTACTCCAACACCATGGATCAAAGGCATCAATTCTTCTTCTGTTATGTTTTTTCACTGTCCAGCTCTCAGCAGCATAGCAAATAACTGAAAAGACTGAAACTAACTTAGTCCTCAAACTGAAATCATTGCTGCTCAATAATTTAGAGTTCCCTGACAGCAGACAGTACATCTCTTGATAAACCTGATGTTGCCTATAGGTCCAGTGGTGAGAACTTTTGTTTTCTTGATATTGACAGGCAATCCATATTGAAGGCTGTAATTTTTTATTCATGAGGCAAGCACTTTCAAGTCCTCCTCTTTTAACCAAGCAAGGTTGTGTCATCTGCACAAAGAAGGTTATTGATGAGTCTTTCTCCAATCCTGATGCCAAATTCTTATTCATAGAGTCCAGCTTCTCAAAGAATTTACTCAGCATATAGATTGAATGGATATAGAGAAAGGACACAACCTTGACATAGCCCTTTCTTAGTTTTAAACCATGTGTGTCACTTGCTCACATCGGGCATGTTGCTAGGAGGGGCTATTCCTTGGAGAAGGACTTGATGTTTTTAAGAGCGGTTGATCAGTGAAGGAGAGGGCACTCTCACCCAGGTGGATTGACATAGTAACTGCTGCAGTGTGCTCTTGTGTGTCAGGAAGTGTGAGAATGGAACAGGATAGAACAGGGTTCAGATCTTTTGTTCATAGGATCTCTGTGAGTCGTACTTGACTCGACGGCACCCAACAACAACAACACAGCGCTTGCTCTGTTCACACAAAAGCTTCTTGGTCTAGGTATAGGTTTTGCTTATACACAGTTTTGTTTATACACAATTAAGTGTTCTAGAACTCCCATTCTTCTCAATATAAGTTGTAGTTTGTTATGATTCACATAATCAAATGCCTTTCCATAGTCAATAAAGCACAGACAGACAGTCTTCTAGTATTGTTTGCTTTCAGCCAAAATCTATTTGACATCAGCAGGGATATCCCTGTTACCACAGACTCTTAAAAATAGCTTGAACTTCTGGCAGTTCTCTGTCTATATAATGGTCTTCAGGGGTATTTTTTTAATACATTCGTTCTTGCACATTTTTCTCTCTCCCCCTCTTATCCCTCCCCCAGTCCACTTGACAATGTACCGCTTGTTGTTTGATGTTATACATATAATGCCTAATCATATATTCTTCTCAGACAGTTCTTACCCTCATCTGTCTAATGAAGTGTTCCTTATTCACTCTTTTTCTATTCTCCCTTAACCCCCTGTGTCAGTCCTATTCTATAACAGTGGTGTTATGCAATATTTATTCTTGTGTAACTGAGATATTTCACTCAGCATAATGTCCTTCAGGCTTACGTTGTGTAATGTTTTACAGGTTCATTGTTTTTCAGTGCTTCCTAGTACTGCACTGTGTGAATATACTATAGTTTTTCTATCCATTCATTTGTTGATGATAGAAATGTCTATCTTGGAGTGCTTCCATCTCTTTGCTGCTTTGAAAAATACAGCAATAAATATGGGTGTGCATGCATTTGTTTGAGTCTCAGCTCTGGTTTCTTGAGGATAGATTCTCAGTTGTTGGAATGATGGGTCAAATGGTATTTCTAGTTCCAACTTTCTGAGAAAATCCCTTCCACAGTGGTTGTACCATTTTACATTCCCACCAGCACTAAATAAGAAATCCAATCTTTCCACAACCTTGTTAACATTTGTTATTTGCTTTTGACTGGAAGAGATCTAAATTTGATCCCATTCCGAAGATAAGTGATCCAACAGAGTGTGGGAATTATCAGACAACATTATGAATATCAGTGCATGCAAAATACTGCTGAAGACCATTCAAAAATGGCTGTCGGCAGCGCCAGCGAGAGCAACGCAGTGCCAGCAAGAGCGACGCAGCGCCAGCGAGAGCGACGCCGCCAGACGGGAGAACGCCGCCGCCAGACGGGGTTCCACCACAAGAGGGGCCTGGAAGAGACTCGGGAAGAACAACAGCCAGCCACCTACCACGGAACTCCAGAGGAGCGAAGACTGTGAGACCCCAGAGGAACGAAG